ATAAGCAAGACGACCCAGGTCTTCTCATCAACATCTACTCCATGAGCCAGAGCAGCCAATACGTCATTCCCGGTACGTACCTAACAACCCTAAGCGACTCTTCCCGATCTAAGTTACTAACACGCGCCTGCTTAGGCCCTGACCCGTTCACCTGCTCAGCGAGTTCCAGCTCAGGCTCCCAAACCGCGGTCCAGTCGTCCGCGTCCACGACACTAGCGACGTCCAAGACCTCCGCGGCCGCCACGACGCCGACCGTCCCTTCGGCTTGCAGCGCCGGGCAGTTTGCGCAGTGCGGAGGCTCCGGCTTTACGGGATGCACTACTTGTGTCAGCGGGTCTACTTGCAAGAAACAGGTATGTCGCTACGCTACTTTACTCAATCTTAGTTCACGATGATCACGTTTTTGACCCGGTGCTTTGCAGAATGACTACTACTCCCAGTGCGCATGAAACTTATTTAGCATTTAATAGAAATTTAACGACGGCGATATTATTATTTGTGATCTTGACTACCTAACTAGGTAATTTGCACCTGGCCTTCCGTGCTCAAGAACCGTGGTCTTTTAATTATTCGTTGTGGTCTGGGTCCATCGTGCGTTTCCCCCTTCTTGGCCCATCGGTGCGTGCGACTCCACACTTCCATGCATTTTACTGCAGGAAAGGAGAAAACTTTAGACGGTGAAATCTGCTAGATGTTATATGACTCGCGGGTAACAGTATTCTGTGAAAAGGTCCCGGATGCGACATCCCAATGGGAATGGATCAGGGTGTATTGGTTTGGTTGCCTTCACCATTTCTATGAAGGGTAGGAAATTTTCTAAAAGAAAGATTCTGGGGGGATTGTGAAAATATGCCACGGATTGTAAAGTGGGTTGTTGCTATGCGCCCCCCGTGGGAATCCACATGATGAGGGTAATCTTTCGCGGCGGAGTTAGTAGCTATCCGTCAATATAAAATACTCTAGATCCAGGCTACTTACGAGGACCCCGATTGTCATCAGTGAAAATAACATATATTCTCCATTTGATCGCCGAGTGCGTGGGGGAGGCTTTTTCGTTGTGTCATAGCCGCTGCGGCTTTCGTCTGTTGGCGGTGGACTCATGGCTATAGCTCTGTGCTTATAGCTCGTGTGAGATATGATATAATTTATATATACCCAGTCAAGATCGTATTTATATAATGAAGAGTGTTAACAGACGCTTGGGAGAGATTTCATACGAATGGGTTTACAGCCCCTTAAGTATTGAACACTGACCTGTTGCTCCCTTTTCTATACAGGCAAACTCTTAAAAGTCCATCATTCTCGTCCAACATATACCAATGACTCAAAGGATATGAAACCCGATCGTTTGGTTGTAATGCAGACCGTGCATGAGGCTTGGGATAGGTCATTAAGGACAACAAAGAGTGAAGCTGATGATCACCATGATATCAGGATATAGTCAACTTCTCTTCTTTGTAACTTGGTGCGGCTGAAGGGGGTGGCTTGGAAATATATGACACTGGATATTTTGATATTTTACGAGAGAGGATGCTCTTTTGGCAATATCTGGGATATGATTACCTATAAGCAGTTTGGTGTGTCTATTATGCCCCTCAATATAACCTGGGGGAAATCACATGGATATATGGGCATATAATTGGTATTTAACCCGTCGTAAGTTACGAAAGTAGACACAACTAGGTTTAAAAAAACATGAGAGTGAAAACTCATCATTTATGTTCACTTTAGCAGGGTGATTAGGGGCTACTTCAGGGGTTACGTGCACCTAGACCAGATATATGACTGGGGTGCTTATCTCAACAAATACATCGCATGAGTCGCAAGGAAAACTTAATAACATAAGTTAAGGTTAGCTTCAAATGGATAAATCACATAAATATGGCAACGATTATATTAGTCCTATCGCCATACTAGCAAGCCCTAGTGCTTATGTAGGATTCCTATAGATGATGACATTCAGAGCCATCGATTGTCACCATAGTGCGAAACGAACGACCCCCCATCCCCACGTTCGACGCTTGCATTGTTCATAACTCCCAAGACAAGCTTGACAGACTCATCCGGCATGATAGGGCCTTTCCACTGAGGCGCGTACTCTGAAAACTTGCGCACCATCTTCTCCATTTTCTGTTTCTCTTTCTCCGACACTTTACCTCGGTACATACATATATCAGCCAGTTATTTATGGTAAATGCGAGAAGGAAATGAGGAGAGAATTGTGAATATCAATGAAATGCGGGAAGAACTCACGTTTAGACGGATCATTGTGCCCTGACGTCTCCACCACGCCAGGCGAGATGCTCATGAACAAGACCCCCTCTGAGGCGAACTCGCCGTGGTACTTGATCATCGCAAGGTTCAACGCTGCCTTGCTTATGGAATAAGGCCCGGCTATCTCAAGCTCCCGCTCACGATTAATGTCGAAGTCGGCCCATCCCGAGGAGATCGCGACGACCTTCTTGGCTTCGCCTTTACGGATCAGCGGTAGGAAGAGGTTAATAAGATGGATGTTGCCGATGACGTTGATCTTGTAGAGAGAAAGTAGGTCTTCCTCAAGAACCTTGGGGTCGTCGCCCCTATGTTGTTGAGATGCATTAGCTACAAGCTCTGGCGGCCCGCTACGCAGCGCAAGAAAAAGGGGTCGAGAAGAGGGGAAGGAGACCTACAAATCACTGAAAGATTTGAAACCGGATACTGTAGAGACGAGACCGGCATTCGCAATAAGGTAATCAAGACTTCCGCCGGTAATTTTGGACGTGTCCTCTGCCGCTTTCTAGGCTTGCTGTCAATGTGCTACCCACTGCAAAGTAGAACAGACTCCCAAACCTTCAGAGATTCATAATCTTCTAGATCGCCCCGGAGGATATGAATATTGGAACGTCCAATCTCGGCAGACACTTTCTTCTCGGTAGCTTCCTTGTTCCGAGCAAGTCCAATAACGACGGCTGCTGGATCGGCGGATAGCTGGCGGATGAATTCAAACTACCACACCAGTTAGAGTTTCTCATGACCTATTCATTCATAGGTAAACACTCACCCCAAGTCCTCTGGACACTCCTGTTACTAGATACGAAGGCATTGTTTCTCGATGAATTTTGTTCGGTTTAGGAATGTTGACTTGAAGTCTTGAATGTCTGAGGGAGTAACTATTATATTTGGTCGTCGGTTCTTGTCTTATATGAAAATAATAGGAGAGTGTCTCGGTCTTTAGAATCGAAATGCTTATTGTTCATATTTAAACACCGATAACGTAGAATAACATCATCAATATAGTTGTGATAGAATTCATGTGTGTCATGGCGGAGCCGGGTTAAGCCGGGTTAAGCATGATCTATTCGATTTCGTCCGTCCGCAGGATGAACTGCGTTTGATTGCAAAGCAGAAGTTAATAAGCCTCCAATGCGAAATTCGGATATTAGCTATTATCGCATACAAAAATTACTGAATATTATGGACCAATGTAGTAGCCGCCGGCCAATTTGTTGGGTTATATATATTAATATCATGCATCTTAAAAGGCTCAACGACAGAAGGGCGTGACTGAAAGTAGAGGATGTGCGAATAGGTATTAATATCACTGTGTTGCACTGTAATAGGGCATATCCCCTTGATAACTTATCTAGGTAAACTACACGTATTGTGGTTGGCGATGGGTGCTGATTAGAAAATACGGGGATATTTGGCACAGTTCAATACAGTAAAATTCGCACATGCTCCACTTTCAGTGACGACACTATTACGCTCAAACTTTTTTTAATTACGTAAACAATTACTCATCAATTAATAAGTAATTAATAAGGAATTGATAAGCCCTTTCGAGCTGGCAGCCGTTTTGAGCCACCCTTTCAATCAGCCACCTTTCCAACCACGTATTAAGCCACTTTTGAACCAGCGCAGGGGCCACTTTTCCAGGGGTTGATTAGTCACCCACTTTAGGAGCTTTTACTTAGCTGTATAAAAACGAACTGACCTGGGTTAAAGATGAGGGCTTCGAGACCACGTAAGCCTTCGAGACCATGTAAGCCTTCAAGACCACGTAGGGTTAGTGGTTAAGTTAGGGTTAGGGGTAACGATAGGATTAGGGTTAGGATCCGGGGGTTTGGGGGGCGGTGGGAGCCCCCCATGTGGGAATGTGTTCTTTTTGCCAGTAAGTCAGTAAGCTGTTCAACCCGTTGTTTAATCTATACGTACGTGAGTAAGTAAGTAAGTAAGTAAGTAAGTAAGTAAGTAAGTCAATCAGCTGTTCAACCAGTTGTTGAATCAACCAGCTTTTGAACCAGGGTTTCAACCAGTCAGTCAATCAGTTGATCAGGCATTCAACCAGTCAACCTGTCAGTAAGTCAATCATGTATTCAGCCAGGTGTTTAGTCATCTATTTAACCAATTGACCAATTGACCAATCAATCAATTAGACAGTAAGTCAACCAGTTTTTGAACCAGCTATTCAACCAGTCAGTAAGTCAGTCAATCAGCTGTTGGGTCAAAAATCAGTCAATTAGATGAGTGGTGATGTCCTCCGGACGGATTTTGTCTTTTTTTCCACCCTATTGCCCCCGTTTTCCACCCCGTTTTCCACCCGTTTTCTCCCCCGTTTTCCCCAACCAACAGCTTTCTGCGAAGAAAATTTTTAGATTTGGTTCTTGTTGGCCATTATAGGTTCGAAATCTTTCATTACATGAGCGTATCTATTCTGTCACATCGAATACGTAGGTGAAAATGATCGTATTTGGCATATTAGAGCTGTCATCGTCATGTGAGGCTGCTAAGGAATTTATTTACCTGGGATTAGTGAACTGTGCTGCGATACCTTCATGTCAACTTCAACCACATAAGGTAAAATCAATATGGATAGACTCTTGAGTTATTGTTGCAGGTGAGGTGTAAGAAGAAAAATTGATCATTTTTATCCTTTTATAGGTACCTACCTAAGAATATGATAAAAAACAAACGCGCAATCTGCTAAATAACAGCAATCGGCAAAAGTTATAGATGGTAAGCTCTCGATCGGGGAATCGAACCCCGGCCACCTGCGCAACTGTCGTTTGTAAGATGACAAGCAGGTATCCTGACCACTAGACCAATCGAGACTTCTGGGGTCTTGGATTAGACGTGCCCTTCTTGGAAGGGCGACTGGATTCACGTGCCGAACATTGTTGGAAAGATATTCTATATCACCACATTTTCATTTGTCAAGTCCGGGCTAGTGGCTCTTGAAATTTTCTAGTTATGCTGGTGTATCCCCACAAATCCTGACCCAACCAATTATAATGGGTTATAACGACTCTTAGCGGTGAGTCCGTGAGTCCGGTATGAACCGACGCTAGAAGAAGCGGTAATAGGGTGCCACCTGGCGTCCAGCTAGTCGTCGGCCTGACGATATGGCAGCTGGGACCTTTTAAGGTTTCACCGTTTTCTATGAGTTCATCAACAAGCTTTTCTCAAGAACCACCATTGTCAAACTCAAACCGCTGTTACTTTCTCATCTCCCATAGTCGTGCAACGCTTCAAATTCAATTACACCATTGCACAAACCTCCCACTTACATCTAATGTAATCATTATCCAAATTTAGAGCACTCGCCTTTTGCTTTAATGCTTCAATGCTCCAATAGCCCATTTCATGTATCCTTACCTAAGTACGCATAGATCGTACCTAATTAAACTATTCCGATTGCGGATATCATCGTATCAACATCATGACGGACTCTCCAGTATCGGATCAGTCAAAGCATGACGCTCAAGTCGTCTCTGGGCATCTACCCACCGGATATTCGGCCGAATTTGACGGGGCACTCGGTAGCTCTGGTGCTCCCTCGGTTTCCGGTCAAGATGCGGGAGACCAGGATTTAGGCGAATCCTCTTTGAAACTTCAAGGAGGTGACATGCACCGAGATCTATTCAAGACCGCTGCACGAGTCAAGATGCACAAAAGAGCTGCAACATTTCACCACCCCCAAGATTTAGCAGGTGACAACGAATCCGACCTTTTGACTGTTAGCGACCAATTGGCTCCGGGTGGATTCCGTAGAGCATTCATACGGCAACGGCAACAGCCTGAGATATGGGCCGCTAGGATGCCTGTTACTCGGAATTTCGTCGAATTCCTTGAACTATACGGCAACTTTGCCGGAGAGGACCTTGCCGATTCCGATGACGAGGCGGTGATATCCGAAGAAGGTGAGGAAGGGGAGGAAGGGGAAGAGCGATCACCTGAGACGAGGCCACTTCTTGGGCGTCGTAAGTCTTCGCGGTCGCCGCGCTCGGCTAAGACCAGTACCAGGAAAACCTTCTTCACCTTACTGAAAGCCTTCATTGGAACTGGAATCATGTTTCTTCCCAAGGCTTTCAAAAATGGCGGCATACTATTCTCCTCTATAACTATGCTGGTAATATCTATAGTCACCATGCTGGCGTTCCATCTGCTCCTTGCCTGTAAGGCACGGTATCGCGGCGGTTATGGAGAAATCGGACAGGCGATATCCGGCGATGCAATGCGCAAGATAATTCTAATTTCCATTACTCTGTCACAGCTGGGGTTCGTTTGCGCTGGGATAGTCTTCGTCGCCGAAAATATGACGTCGTTCCTCCAGGCCGTAGGACATGGTAGTAGTCCATTATCACCCACGACCCTGATTCTCATACAACTCATCATTTTAATACCTCTGGCATTCATTCGCAACATAGCCAAGCTCAGTCCTCTTGCGCTTCTTGCGGATGTCTTCATCTTGATTGGTGTAGGCTACATCTACTACTACGACATCGCTCATCTCGCTTCAGACGGTATCCATGAAAGTGTTGTTCTCTTCAACCCAGCAAAATACACTTTGACCGTCGGTTCGGCTATCTTCACATTCGAAGGCATTGGACTTATTCTACCAATCCAATCTTCCATGACGAAACCCGAACGGTTCGAGTGGCTTCTTGCTATTGTCATGTTCATCATCACAGTTCTCTTTACTGCTGTTGGTGCGCTTTGTTATGCCACGTTTGGCGAAAACACGCAGATTGAAATCATCAACAACTTTCCTCAAGATAGCAAGTTCGTCAACGCAGTTCAGTTTCTCTACTCACTCGCCGTCCTGGTCGGAACTCCTGTCCAGCTTTTCCCTGCCTTACGTATCGTCGAAGGTAGAATATTTGGATCGCATTCAGGAAAGAAGAGTACCAGAACAAAATGGATCAAGAACGCGTTCAGAGCGTCTGTAGTCCTCTTGTGCGGACTAGTTTCGATAGTAGGCGCTTCGAACCTCGACAGGTTCGTCGCATTGATCGGGTCCGTTGCTTGCGTACCCCTGGTCTACATCTACCCAGCATATTTGCATTACAAAGGTATCGCAACCTCGTGGCAAGCCAAAGCTGGAGATATATTGTTCATGGTGGTTGGAACGGTCGCAATGGTCTACACTACGGCAATTACCATTGCCAACAGCTTTATGCACTAGGCGTTTGTTTTGGAATGCATCCCACCAAAAGGATAAGAATGCGGATGGGGGCGAATATAAACAAAATTGCATTTGGAGCATGGATGCTCACCACGGTCGGAATTGGAGTTATTGGGTTATTTAGCAGCGAACCGACTCCTGCATCACGATCATTCATGAATATCGTATCGGCATTGTGGATACGGAAATACAATTGGCGTTGAGCGTTTATCTTACAGATTGGGGACTTTGAAATACCACTGGTTAAATGCTTTGGATTTCCTAACTACATTTCTCTTACCTCCGATGCTTCGCCTTCATTGACAATAAATTCTCGAGGCCGGCCGAGACATAACTTCCGCAGGTACTTGGTACAACTCACGGCAACAAGAACGGTGATAAAATCTATGCCGTTTACCCAACAGCACCGCATACAGCAAAGACCCACCGAGAAAAATTAGCTTTGACGGCTACCGGAGACTTATTCTCCAAGGTCACAATTGAGATTGGCCTGGTTTAATGTCAGTGCATATCTTGGTAGGCATGGAGATCTAAAATATATCCTCAAATTTATACAATTATTTACCTATCATATCAACTTTTTTTACCCTGAGTCTTCAACAGGCAAGTTGACTCTTTCATACGTATCCCCATGGCATAGACAATCCTTTATCAGGGTAAAAACACATGCGGCACAGGAGGCGAGGCGCTGATTAAGACCCTGCCTACATGTTGACGTCTTGCTTTTGTAGAAGCGATTAAGATCAGGGAACGAACCCCTAGGTAACATATCGGTATGACTCATCCTTTTCCTCCTTAACCCGAGCGGCACGGCAATAGCTGTATCGAATTGTAATACAGGGAGAAATTTGATGCGAGGATAATCGCACCACAATTGCACATTGAGGCGCGAAACGATTATTAATGAAACTAGATGCTAAGGCGAGTTACGAAGAGGGCTATATTAACGAAGAAGGCAAGCAAGGACGAGTGATGCGGGTTTTAATCCCCCCTAACCACTAGAACCACTACTATTGGCCCTCTCGAATCGAATTTGTACGTTTTGGGTAATTGGTATCCTTCACCTCTGCAGCTGCAACTGCTGACGACATATGCGGTGATAGGTGGTTGACAAATCCCCATGCCTCTTTTGGACATAATGCGACCCATCAGCTCCACAATTGTTTGGATTCATGTTTACATGGAATCTTCTTTGTTGGTTGCTATTTGATAACTTACCTAGACGATGAGAAGGATATTTAAGAACTTCAAAGTTCGCTGGTTTCAGTTTCCAAATAACTATCATCCAGCAACAATAACAGCAACTTATACGAACACATTTGTCTCATAAAACAACATTCATAAGCAACATGTCTCTCCAAGCCGAAATCGACCAGGTTAACAAGGGCTTCGACAAAGCCCCTGAAGAGATCAAGGGTCCTATCATCGCCTCCCGACTGGACTTTGCGAAGTCCTTCGATGCCAGCAACGCCATCAAAGTCGGCCAGAAGCTGCCGGAATTCAGCCTCCCAGACTCCCTCAACAAGACCGTGAAGAGCTCTGAACTCCTCGCCAACGGCCCGCTGCTGATCACCTTCTACCGCGGCGGCTGGTGCCCCTTCTGCAACCTCGCCCTGCACGCGCTGCAGGCGCGGCTCCCGGAGATCAAGGCCAAGGGCGTCACGCTGGTCGCCGTCACGCCCGAGCTGCCGGACACCTCGCTCACCACGTCCGAGAAGCAGGGGCTCGAGTACCCCGTGCTCTCGGACGTCGGCAACAAGTTCGCGCACAAGCTCGGCATCGTCTGGGCCCAGCCCGACACGCTGCGCCCCATCTTCGCCAAGATCGGAAACGACCTGAAGGCGAGGAACGGAGACGACTCGTACGAGGTGCCGATCCCGGCTACCCTTCTCGTCGACAGGGATGGCACCGTGAAGAACTTGTTCCTCGAGGCGGATTACACGAAGAGGCTCGAGCCGGCTGTGGCGCTGGAGTGGATTAACGCCCTCTAGATTATTCCTGGGAGAGGGTTCGAGGATGGTATGAGGCAATGAAGGAACTTGGGATCTTTAGTTCGGGAAGGTATTTTTGTGGTTAAATTGAGATCTAGACAGCATTTTTTGAGGGATATTAAATATTACCTAAACATTCAGCTCAAGTTCTGAAGTATGTTGACCCCTTCTTTTCGTGACGTGGTTCTGTATGAATTAAATCCCCTGGATGAGTTTTGATGAAGTTAATGGCATTATTACTATCAACTATTAATTCATTCGGTTAATTTCGTTAGAAACTATTTTACACGCATGTAGTATTTCTGAACGCTTGCTTGGTTGGATACACCTGATATTTTTAGGTTAGGGAATGGAAAGGGGAATAATATGAAAAAGGGGCTCTCTATGAGTATATGTTACCCAAACCTTTCTTTTCTGCACCCTACCTATCTTACAAGACAACCTCGGGGATATGATAGCTTTATTGACATGAGAAGACAATTTGGTAGGTTTACTCACACCTCGACAGATATAGTATACTCTCAAGTGCCATATAACCTTCAACAAGCATTTCCAAGTACCGGACAAGCAGGTCCACCAACGAGAGCGGCCACCATACATTCAATCTGAGATATAGCTAGTTCTGGGTCCATACAGTACTCGCATGAGGATATAT